TGAGTATTATAACATAAACGTCTCACAGTTCACGTTGACCTTATTACTGAGGTTCAACAACTAAGGAAGGTTAGTAATTACATTCGTCCATCAACAAGTAAACATAAGGCGAGATACAACTTCCTGTGTTAAATTTACTGTTCTCAGACTGACGCAGATCTGAGAGTTATTGTTGGCTCGACCAATTAAGGATACAATGTGTGTGTGTGTGTGTGTGTGTGTGTGTGTGTGTGTGTGTGTGTGTGTGTGTGTGTGTGTTTTATTCCGTAGTTTTGACGATAGAACTGAAATTTGGTAGGGAGGTGCGAAAGGCCTTGGGGGTGGTCGTACACTGTCTCTCATCCATCCGTGGGGGTAAATTTAGGTTTGTATTTATACGTCTCGGTAATGTAGTGGTTAGTGCCTCAGTGTGCTGCTCTACTGGCCCGTGTTCGACCCCAGGACACACCCAGCAGGTTCCCACGACAGTTGTGATCAAACGGTGGGGTAGAAAGCCTCGATTCGTGTAACTCCGCACCAACCCGACAGGTACCTTTGCTAACCTGTGTGAGGCAGGTGTTGCTATTTACTGAAGAGTTTCCTCACAGCTATCAGGTGAGGAAAACTGTACTACTCAGAAATGAAACTGTGGGGACAGAGGTGCAGCATGTGTACAGCATGTTGAACACTCTTACGTCTGGCTCCACCTGCCGTACACTACTGTTGACACGACTATGACAGCTAGAGATGGTTGTTCGCTTATTTACTAACACCATGGGTTTTTTTTAACAATCAAGATGTTGGTGCCGTGAACCTGCCCAGACTTTCGTACCAGAACAGAAGAGCCATCATCAGAGCATCTCAATCTAGTGTGTGACCTCAAGGATTCTACCTCCACTGAATGCAGTCCTCCGTACTATAAATACCCGTCGAGGCGAGTGCTAAGCGTCCGTAAAGAACAAGGTGAAGACGACGTGTAGTGGTGTGAAGTAGAGTTAGTTTCTGCCACGTAACTTACAGCAGTCAGTGGAGTCATGTATAAAATTCGCTGCTGTTGTCCCGGAGGTTAAAACCGAGATTGTTCGAAGTAACTAAGTGAACAGACATTATTACGGTGAATCTGGACTTATTATCTGCCTTCCTAACGTTCTTCCAAGCGGCTACCTGCCTTGTGCTGTACCTGGATACATAAGCAAGCCAAGTCTGATTTATTTTATCGTATTTATATCTAATCAAGTGTCCAGATCCTTTCTTATAACTTATAACTAAAGTGATCTGATTCATCTGACTTCATTTTTTATTGTTCATTGTAAGTCTCAACTTGCTTCCCAGCCTTCCCCTACTCCCCTACTCACCATTCCCCCTATCCTCCCCTACTCCCCATTCCCCCTACTCTCCAGCCTCTCCTACCTCCCCTACCCTCCATTTTCCCCAACTCCCCAATTACTCATCTCCCCATGGTCGTTAACCCTCTTTCTCCTCCCAATAATACCGACTGTCCGCCATTGTTCCGTCCTTCAGTGGAAATCCATTCAAATGTAATAAATGTTTTGCATAAACAATTTTTCTATTAGTTACACTGCATTTGTAATTGAGATTATGAGTCAGTGTAAATAAAAAAAAGAGTTTCATTTCATTTTTAGCTGTAAGGATGAGGAAGTCGACGATATAACCTTTAAGAAGTTATGGATGGAGAGCAGCTCCTCAACAGCCACACCAACAGGTAATCCCAGATGACAGGTAAACCACAAAACCTCTTTAATATGAACAAGATAAAAGACCTTGACAAAAACAGCCAATAAGCAGAGTTGTTGCTCACATTGCTACATCAACAGTGGTCACTTCTTTGCCCGCCCCTGAGAAAAGTTACGTACATGAGAATCGTGAGTTATAGATTCAACAATAGTCCACGAATAGGGTAGAAAAAGTCAGGCTCATATCATCCTACTAAGAGATTTTGAAATTAATATCCCGCAAAGGTGAATTCTTTATCGAGCTTCAGTAATTAATGATTTTATGGTAAACAAACTAGAGAGGTTCCTTCACACACAAACACATGGGGACGCTGGTGACGCACTCAGACTTGTTAAAGAAAATAGAACAACCCTTTAAGCTGATCACAAATGAAGGCAACTTCCTTGAACTCATCATCCCACACGAGAAGCCAAGGATGATGAACACAACACAACACAACACCACACCTTTTCTACAGTTGGCTCCATTATATAATTAAGCCTTGGTGTCACTTTACAGGTTAATTTGGATGTTAATTGCTTTTCACAGGTAAATGGATTTCAAACGTTGTGTCTGAACAAGAATGCTGATCACAAATACAGTATAGATCACTCTTTGAACGACATGATCTCTTTCACCACTGGACATTTGGAGCAGGATGCCAGAAGTGGTATGGTGCCCACTGGCTGACTGCTGAGGTTAGGGGTTCAGCTAGGGTAAACAAAATGCCTTAAGACGTGAGATGACTGTTCAGTAAGTATTAGGTTCTCGTTCTCACTCTATTGTTAGATAATTCTTATATTTTATAAATAATGTTTAATGACTAGTTGATGGTCATAATTTTACAGTGAAGTGTTGAAGTGTGTCAGATATGTTCTCCTTACGGTGTAATAACAGGAAGAAATGATTGTCACTTCTTTTTCTGGAGCTTATTTGTAACTTTTCTAGTTTGCACTAACACACTTATGCGGCAGTAATATAAGTACCATTATTCCCTAGTTATATTTTGTTACCTTCACCATAATAAACCTTTTATGCTGTATAGTAACTTCAACCATTAAATATGTTTTTCTTGGCTTTATACAGTACTGTAGTTTATACATAAGAATGCTGTATTGTGTTTTGTGTGTGAATAATATATCAAGGGAAGTTTGTATCCTACTGTGTAGTATGTCCACCGTTACCTGTTGTTACTGGTCCCGGCCGAGTGACTTACCTGCCCAGGTTTTTATGGAAAATGTTTAATAAAAATAAACATTAAAATTATTGTTTATATCAACTCACAGATCACATGTGCCCATATATATGTACCGGGTACACCTTGTCACAGTACCCTACCTCTGACTGTACCCTACCTCTGACTGTACCCTACCTCTTGCTTTACCCTACCTCTGACTGTACCCTACCTCTGACTGTACCCTACCTCTGACTGTACCCTACCTCTTGCTGTACCCTACCCTACCCTGACTGTACCCTACCTCTGTACCCTACACTCTGACTGTACCTCTTGCCCTACACTGACTGTAGCTGTACCCTACCTCTGACTGCTGTACCCTACCTCTGACTGTGCCCTACCTCTGACTGTACCCTACCTCTTGCCTACTTACCCCTACCTCTGACTCCCTACCTCTTGCTGTACCCTACTCTCTGCCCCTACCTCTGACTGTGCCCCACCTCTGTACCCCTACCTCTGACTGTACCCTACCTCTGACTGTACCCTACCTCTGACTGTACCCTACCTCTGACTGTACCCTACCTCTGACTGTACCCTACCTCTTGCTGTACCCTACCTCTTGCTGTACCCTACCTCTGACTGTACCCTACCTCTGACTGTACCCTACCTCTGACTGTGCCCTACGTCTTACTGTACCCTACCTCTCATTGTACCCGGAAGTGTTGATTGTTGTAGTATGGGATTCGTTAAAGTCATAATGAGGTCCGCTGTAATACCCGGAGGCCGGTTATGTGGAACAACATCAATAACCTCAGCTGACCTTGACCCAGTGAGCGGCAGTCGTGTGATACAGAGTCAAGAGAGCCGAGTGTGTCTCCCAGAGTCCCATACCAACTGCACTTCCTTGTAAAAATAGCATAAAAATCATATATCCAACACTTTTAACCGGATGATCGGATATTTTGAGAATAATAATCCAAAATTACAGAAGCCGGATTTATCGTACCGTACATTAGTGACTTTATAATTATCGTACAGTTCATATAGCGAGAGACTGACACTGTGGCGCCAAATAGCCAACAGGGTGTGGTGGCGGGAAATAAAACCACGGATGATTGATTACTTGGCACCATCACCACTACCAACACACACACACACCACCACACGCTATCACACACCACCACACACCATTACGTTGGGATGCTTCCAATTCAGGTTAAGACTCATAGAGAAGTCGCCTTGCATACATCAATAAATTCCTGATCAACTAAGCAAACCTGAACACATCACCATGGTAACCAGGACATGCACCGAGTAAATGAGATATTGTAAAAAAAATATAATGAAATATATGTATAATATTTTTCCTGTAATTATATTGAAATAAAAAAAAATTCAAGTTACTTTTGTAAAGTTAGATACATAGAGGTTAGGTATGGGTGGTATGGGTTGTGGGGTGGTAGATAGGCGGTAGTATGGTAGATTTATGGTAGTATGGTAGATGTATGGTGATAGGTGGGCAGGTAAGGGTTTAATTTACACATTGTTTACTACTGAAAATGTTTAACACCAACAGCTCACATAATGTTAATCAGTAGACGACCAGAGTCACCTTCCCAACCCAACCCTCTGAACACTCACCAGTAAATATGTAACTCTCACTAGTAGGATATTATTGTCTTATATACGTCTCCTATAGTTTGATATAACTTTGCTAAAATGAGTTAAACAGTTAGTTATGAAGTGTTGATATAAAGGATAATATCTCAGGTTCATTTATATTTATCGAGGTGAGACAAGAAGAGCTTTTACCTCCTTTGTTTTAAAGTGTTAAGAATGTTGACAAATATACGAAGGACATTACCTCCCCTCCTTCCTTCACTCCCTTTCCCCCCTCCCTCCATTTCTTCCCTCCGCTCCCTCTACTCCTCCCTCCATCCCTGCCTCCCTTCACTCCCTCTCTGCCGAATTCCTTTTGTCCACAACTGTACAATTCTAAAAACAATTCATAAATACACAAAAGAAATAAACCTACATAGTTTCTTCGTGACCAACCCGCGAGTCTCATCAGCCTGGATTACTCTGCCAGATAACCATTAAGTGCTCCACTCACCTTAATCTCATCAAAGGTAACTGGAGTGGTGCGGAACCGTCCAGTGCGGTTCATTTTCTTCTTGATTGCTCGCTTATAGGAGTGTGGGTGAGGCTCTACCACACGGTTCAGACGAGACAGAGGCTCCGGGTATATGGCGTCTATCTCTCGCCTATAGTCCTTAGGCGGAGTGGAAGACATCTTGGTGGTTAACTTATCCAGCGTGAAGGTATTTGGGGGGTCCTTGGTGAAGACAGGTGTAAGATGGCTGCCCAGGTGAAGGTCCCGTAGAGGCGGGTCCTTCAGGTTAGGTTCTCAGGTGTTAAGTCAGTTTAAGGTAGGTCACCAGGTGGATGTTAAGGTGAAGGTGAGTCATAGATGGTTTTTCAGGTGAAGGAAGCGGTTGTTGTGGTAGACAGGTTCACAGGTAACTCCTCAGGTGACGTCAGTAACACCGAGCTGCTCACAGTCTTACCTAAGATTATTCTACATATAAAACGTTTCACCAGTTTCAGGAATATGTAAGTATGATCACTGGAAGTTATATATATTGGTAAACCCTTTTGTAGGAAAATATATTTCACTATTACCATCAGTCAAAAACACAACTGTAATATCACAAATGAAAATGGTTCTCTTTATCTCTTCATAACACACTGAGGCACTACACAAGGCACTGAGTATTACCCACTCACTAGAACAATGTGTATTTTATATCACTTTCCGCCCAATGTTTTTTTTTCACCTTTTACCAAGTAATATTTCAAAGCAATATTGTGGGTGCATATTTTCACACAGATATTACCCTCGTAAACATTAATGTATATTTACAATATTATTTGTAATGTGTAGTTTCATTCTCTAACAAAAACTTTATTCTCGGAAATTCATCCCATAAAAAAACAGCTTATACTTCTGCCAGTGTTAATATTGACGTAAGAAAATAAAATATAATTATCTGTGTCTTGTCTGGTGTTGCGCAGAGCAAATGTGAGTGAGTGAGGGTGGCCACTGCCCTCGCTCTTTGGCAAGTCCCGCCTGAAGGAGGCCTTCCCTCCCTCTCGCACTGGTGGGGAGTCGAGCGAGCCTCACTGGTGGAAGCTGACACTCAGACGAGGTGCCACAGAGTTGAGGTAGTCCACGACAACTCTGGGTATAGACACTCGCTCTGCCAGCACACATAAACCAACACACTATGCTAGACTATTGCGACTCAAGTAAAGTTTACGGTTCAAAAAAAAAACATTATGGAATTCCCGCAAAAAGTTTCACATTCACGAGGGTGTTTGCTTCTCCGACGATGGGAACGTAACTTTGAGAATCCCTGGCCTCCGTAACTTGCAGAAACTCTTCAGCCATAAACCATTCCCGTTGTCCAGGATGAGGGAGGTGATGATGGCGGCGGCGCGGCTTGTGAGGGAGCGGGGAACTGCTAGAAGAGACGGCGCGGCGAGGCAGGCAGCCGCTCCTCCTTATCATGTGACTCAGGCCGAGGCGCCGCCAACACTCTGTCAAGGAAGAAATTAAGTTGTGGTGAATCCTGCGTTGACACACATGAGCCTACTGATCAAACTAACAATAACAGATGTCATGTTAGTTCCAAGTTGTAATGTCTTTTAAGTTTTGTAAGATCCACCTTTCTATTATTATAAAGACCCACAAACAAGCAATTTCTTCACTGTAGCTTCACCCCAACACCACAGACGTACACACTCTTAAACAACTTAAAAACTGTAAAAAAAATGTCAATTTTATCACTCCTTAAATATTTACACACGTCTTGTTAGTACAGACAGATGGCGACGAACAGATAGAGTTAATATTGATGTTATGATGTTATTAATATGCTTCAACAACTATATAACATCAGAGTCCATCAACAACTATATGAGAGACTGAACTATATATTGAGTAGCGTCGTCTTACTAGCGGTGGATTTGGGCTGATAAACAAGTGGTTCTCGAATGGCTGATGTTGAGTGATGGAGTTCCCGGTGTTACAGACGGGCTGGCGGGGAGAGGGGGTGGTGGGGAGAGGGGTGACGGGGAGAGGGGTGGCGGGGAGAGGGGCTGGATGGGGAGAGGGGTGACGGGGAGAGGGGTGGTGGGGGAGAGGGGTGCAGGGAGAGGGGGTGGCGGGGAGAGGCTGATTTGGGAGAGGGGGGTGACGGGAGAGGGGGTGGCGGGGAGAGGGGGTGGTGGGGAGAGGGGTGGCGGGGAGGAGGTGACGGGGAGAGGGGGTGGCGGGGAGAAGGGTGACGGGAGAGGGGGGTGGCGGGGAGAGGGGTGGGAGAGGGGTAGGGGAGAGGGGTGGCGGGGAGAGGGGTTGCTGGGAGAGGGGTGATGGGAGAGGGGGTGGTGGGGAGAGGGTGACGGGAGAGGGGTGGCGGGAGAGGTGCAGGGGAGAGGGGTGGCGGGAGAGGGGTGGCGGGAGGGGGTGGCCGGGGAGGGGGGTGATGGGGAGGGCGGGAGAGGGGTGACTGAGAGGGGTGATCGGGAGAGGGGTGCAGGGAGGGGTGACGGGGAGGGGGTGACGGGGAGGGGGGTGACGGGAGGGGGGTGGCGGGAGAGGGGGTGACGGGGAGGGGGTGACGGGGAGGGGGGTGACGGGGAGGGGGTGGCGGGGGAGAGGGGTGGCGGGGGTGAGGGGGTGACGGGGAGAGGGGTGACGGGGAGAGGGGTGACGGGAGAGGGGTGGTGGGGAGAGGGGTGGCGGGGAGAGGGGTGGAGGGGAGAGGGGTGGTGGGGAGAGGGGTGACGGGGAGAGGGGTGGCGGGGAGAGGGGTAGGGAGAGGGGTGGCGGGGAGAGGGGTGACGGGAGAGGGTGTGGGGAGAGGGGTGGTGGTGAGACGTGGTGGCGGGGAGAGGACATGCAGAGAGAGAGAGAGAGAGAGAGAGAGGGGGGACAAGGTTAACTTCCTCGATAATTGCTCTCATTATTACCTAAACCATCTCTGCGTCACACGTTAAGGACTTACCTGACGGTTATATTTAATGAGCTTTAATTAAAACAGGTAATACAGGTAATTTATAGGTCAGAGGAGCCGTTTAAAGGTATCTTCTGTAACAAACTTCTAAACAGATGGAATGAACTTAACATACACTGGATATACGAGAGCCGTGTGTGTGTGTGTGAGAACGAAATCGAATCACAATGAAATGTTTTTTACAGAGAAAGTTCTTAGACCAGACGAGGAAAAGTTGCCAACACGGAAAAGTAAATTGTACTTCATTAGCTATAGAGTTTGTTAAGGCCACCAAGGAGAGAAACTGATAATGGTAGAGATATAATGAATCCAAGAATGGTTGGGTTAGGTTAGGTTTAGTCCGAATCAGCGCACGGGGCCGTATCCTAGATCACATGAATAATAATCAGCTGTTCAACAAGGTGGTGTAAGACTCCCTGAGTAACACACACCTCAGAGCCTCACGGTATAAGGAGTATTACGGTCACTCATCTGTTAAAAGGCCAAGAAATTTTAATATATTACCTAAAAAATATTCTGGTGGATTTGTTTCATAAATGGGAAAAAGACTGTGAATGTAAACTGAAAATATGGTAAGGTGGACGTGAGAACAAACTGCCTCACTCTCCGTGCTGATACGATATTAACATTACTTTAGGTTAGGTAGGATATAAGTTTTGGTGAGTTGGCCCGCAGAGAAATACCGAAATCGTAATGCGGCCCATGACTGAGGAAAGGTTACCCATGCCTGTGTTAAGACATCTAGGAGGCCCATGAATCTTTTTGATGAAATTCCACGTTACGGAACCCATGTCTGCCTTAAATTCCTCTGTAACCCTGACTAACGCCCTCTGGAACTACATGTTATTAACCATTTTATAATGTCAAAAACCACAGACACACAAAGATACACACGTAAACTCACACACACGCGAGTACACCTACACACGCGATTACTCCCACACATGCACGTACACCCATCCAAACACACACACACACAGTCGGCATATTAAAAACACAACACTCCAGAAAATTACAAAATGTACACGTGATAGACAACGAGAGAGAGCATATCTTATCCAACAGGTGATAAGTGAGTATCCCGTCAAGCAGTTTTCGTCCACTTGAGAACTAATAACATCTCGGCTTTTTAATTCCTCACTTAGGTACAGTCTATATCCCACATCACAAGACTAATTAACAACAAGAGAGAGTTAATTAATGTGTACGAGGACAGGTGAGGACAGGTTAAGTACTAAGGTGAATGCTATTTTTTTACCATGATATCATGTCTTAATGAGATGTGTTGCGCTTTATCTTGTATAATGTTGCAACACTGGCAAAGCTATCAACACACTCCTGACTATATGACACTGTACCAACACACTCCTATATAACACTGTACCAACAATAGTCCCCTCTTTATATTATTGTACTCAGGGTGTTGTGGGGTGGTTATGTGTTGTTGGGTAGGTGTAGCAGAATAAGCACGTTGCCCTGTGTCCCCCCCAGTCACCGCACTAGTTATTACGTCCGGTTTTAATTCAGGTAAAAAATGGATCTCCAATATACAGTATTGTGGACCCTTGACGTGTACTCAGCCTCCTGCCTCCAGAAGATCTCAAGTGTGGAGGAAGGTGGTGGTGTTGTGTTGGTGGTGGTGTTGTGTTGGTGGTGGTGTTGTGTTGGTGGTGGTGGTACTGTTGTGAAGGTATTGGTTGTGGTGGTGATAACATTGTGTGTGGTGGTGATGACGTTGTGTGGTGGTGACGTGAACATTGAGAGTGGTGATGTACTGTACTTTTACGATGCAAATGATGTGTGCTCTACTGACCGCGTGTTGTGGTGATGATGACGACGTGTGGTGATGGTATAAATGTGGTTAGGTAAGATTAGTTTAAGTGTTGCAGAAGCGTTAATGTAGTGTTGCGAAGATGTTGATACGGTGTTGCAGAGGTGTTAACGAGGCGGTGTTGTGGTGGTGAAGGCACTATTGAAGAATTGTCTGTGTATTGGCGTGTGGTGGTCTGGCTGATGCTGTCACACATTTCGGATATGTTGGCAGGGCCTAGGGGTGGTAGGAGAGACCCTGCAGGCGTGGGTTGGTGCCCCTTGGGAGGCGAGGGTTGGTGCCCCATGTTTGGTGAAGAACGTGCTTGTGACCGTCAACAGAACACCCCCAACTTTCTCCCGTGTCTCAAGCTGTTCCAACAACTGAAGATTTCACAACATCTACATCCAGGACGAGAGAGAGAGAGAGAGAGAGAGAGAGAGAGAGAGAGAGAGTATGCTTGGTTAACTAAGATAAACTGGCATTATACTGTGCGCAATCTGTGAGAGCCAACCTTGTCTACACTTGAAGCGCTTAATTCCTTACTATGTTATCTTCTTCAAAGACCTTTATCAGTTTTTAACGTTTTTCTTAGCGTAATTTTCTCATCAAGGTTCATTAAACTCATTATTTTTGTCTCTTGGGATCTTGTTACCTAGTTAATGGTTGTTTTATCTGCTGTATGTTTTATCTGCTGAATTACTACCTTCACTCTTTATATATAGGGCACCTCACCTCACCTAATTACTACCTCTAATTACTGCCTCTCATATATATATATAAACTTCCTCACCTTACCTCACCTGTATCTAATTACTACCCCTCAATGCATATATAAGCACATCACCTGTCCTTAATTATCTTTCTTAAGCACCTTTGGTCCTCGTAATATACCTAAACTATAATAGCTATGGCATGTCTGTAAAGCAGGTAACACACACACGATGATTGCCAACGAAAGCGTCAACGATAACGAAGTCTTTCACTATAGCGTTCATCACTACCAAACAATGACATCATCACTATCATCTATAGCCACCATACCAACGAGTCATCACAATTCTCCTCTGTGTTATTATCAATAGTCATCATCATCACCACACTTCATCATCATCATCACCACACTTCATCATCATCATCATCATCACCAGACTTCATCATCATCATCATCATCACCACACTTCATCATCATCATCACCACACTTCATCATCATCATCACCACACTTCATCATCATCATTACCACACTTCATCATCATCATCATCACCACACATCATCATCATCATCATCATCATCATCATCATCACCACACTTCATCATCATCATCACCACACTTCATCATCATCACCACCTTCATCATCCCACCACCACCACACTTCATCATCATCATACCACTTCATCATCATCACCACACTTCATCATCATCATCATCACCACCACCACTTCATCATCACCACCACCACCACACCACACTTCATCATCATCACCACCACACTTCATCATCATCACCACCACCTTCATCATCCCCACCACCACACTTCATTATCATCATTACCACTTCATCATCACATCATCATCATCATCATCACCACCACCACACTTCATCATCATCACCACCACCACACTTCATCATCCCCACCACCACCACACTTCATCATCATCATTACCACACTTCATCATCATCACCACCACCACACTTCATCATCATCACCACCACCACACTTCATCATCATCACCACCACCACACATCATCATCATCACCACACATCATCACCACCAACCAGCCAGGTAACCTCGCGTGAGCTGAGTAATGTCCAGGTAACATTGGATTCATTTTACCTTTTCTTTGTAACCACGAGAAGCGATGTGTGTCGAGTGAGGTCCAGGTGACGACAATATTGTGTGAGTTTTGTTTGATGAGGCTTTACCTGGCTAATGAGGTCTGGGGTGGTGTAGTGGTGACAGGTGTGGTGGTGATGATGGAGAGAGGGTGGTAGTGGTGGTGATGGTAGCAATAGTAGTTGTGATAGTGGTAGCAGTGGTGGTAGTGGTGATAATATAAACACAAGTTATTTAAGGGGAAAGTTATAGGTTTGTTTTAATACTGGGTAGAAGTTTTTTTTCTGTGCTGGCAATTATTATGGAACAACACCCCCTCGCCCTGGCTCCTGTTATTACCTGCCTGCCCTCACCTGTCAGCAGCCAGCTCCCCCTCACCCTCTAAACCTTAACTACACACTGCAGACACAACAACCGACCCTCGTACACCAGCTACACCTCATCTCACTATTTGTTTGGTAAAGAGATGAGTGTTTATGTGTTAAAGGTTTGTTGATACAGTGAAGCTCGTGAGTCGTGTCTGCACCTCGAGCCTCTACTGTAAGCTGTTTCACCTCCCAACCATAATTATGTTATTTACAGAACTCTGGCTAAAGGTGGGGTTATAGTTGGTTTATTAGGCAGCAGTCGTAAAGTGAAGAAACGTTTCGTATGATCACAAGGAATATATATCTCACATTAGATGGTTCCGTCATCACCTGGGGGGTCATTAACATCACGCGACCAAGACCTGAACAAACACAGGTGATCTTGTTTGATACACGACTAAATGGGTAGGTTTAATTGCTCAAACTATGACACCTATTGACACCTCCAAGTGAAAATGACATTCATTATGGTAAAGTGATGAGGAGTCATATAATAGCGAGACAGCTGAAAATATAATGTCACTCACCATTATATACTGACCGTCATACAACAATGTCTTACGATATCTTCCACTGTTTATAGCGGTATCTGTCCGGTATATCTACACATTATATAAAATGGTTCTGCTAAAATAAACTTGATATTCTCTTCTTATTTCTTCTTATACTGACGGTTCTGTCTACCTGCGTCCGTACATACTAAAAGGGAGACGACTGAACACCTAGACCCGCCTACAGTAAACTCTCTCAATAACGGACTTCTCAGTAATGTATATAGTAAACCCTCTCAATAACACGCATCTCCTTAGTGGATTCCCTCATTAATAGAACCCTCCCAATATCGGAGAGAACTTTCAAGAATTAGTCCGGTATTGAGAGGGTTTACAGGGTGAGGGGGTCGTCTCTCACTTCACTATGTTGACGTGATCTCTGAGCTGTTTGTTTACCCCGTCACTGCTTATGGTGACGTCAATGTAGAGTTGTGAACACCGAGTCTCTCTTGAACACCTGTACGAGTTAAGGAGACGATAATAACATACCAGCTGGATGACCCCCGCCCTACCTGATCCAACACGCGTAAGAGGATTAAATAAAGTCTTTTTAAAACTACTAAACAGAGTCAGAAAAACATTGGAACTAAATATAATCTTCCTCAGATCTAAACAGTATAAATTAACATATAGAATTGACTGAAGATATGAGAGCTGCTCCACCACCATGATGCACCCAGTGACTATGTAAGGAGACGCGAGTGGGGTGTTTTTAGGTCTGTGAGAGGGCAATAGCACCAAGGAGTCTAGTAATGTGTGTGTGTGTGTGTGTGATTACAATGATAAGAATAATTAAAGTCGATGTTGAATGCCCAAATGTGATTCAGAAGCAACAAGGACATATAACAGTATAACTCATAGCGGTAACTTCAACATACCTGTAACTTGCATTACCTGTAACTTGCATTACCTGTAACTTGAATTACCTGTAACTTGCATTACCTGTAACTTGCATTACCTGTAACTTGCATTACCTGTAACTTGCATTACCTGTAACTGTAACTTGCATTACCTGTAACTTGAATTACCTGTAACTTGCATTACCTGTAACTTGCATCACCTGTAACTAATGATCATTTGATAAGCAACTTTTCAGTCTTTAAAAAGTAGTGAGTTTTTATATGAGACAGAATGGTAGTGTAGCATCAACACACACACACACACACACACACACACACAGGACCGACCTACACGCTCATATTCTCTCTCTAACTCTCCTGTGTGAAGGGAAATGCAGTTATCAGCACACCATGAACCCAATTTCCCCCGCCGTTCGATATGATGAAAGGAGTGCAGTAATACCTTACCTTAACCCGGAAATATTCACACAGAGTCATATATATGTATTATAGATTACATTTGTTTATCCAAGGTAATTCTATTAAGTGAATATATATTTATCTTCTCTAATAAGGAATATACATATTTTTATTATGTATTGAGTCTATCTGAAACTGTTTTTTTAATATATGACCTTATGTAAATAATGTAGTTATATATCGCCTATAACCCAAGACACTGTTATAATTTACTTCACAATAACACCAACAGTGTAGGCCAGAGGTGTGAAGCAGTGAGCCTCAACACCCACACATAGCTAACAAGGTTCATAAGCGATAACATCAAGTGACCATAACAAGTGCCCACGTATCTGATATCACCTGGTGAGTCACTTGTTTCCACGACAGGTGAAAGAAGGCATCATGACTCACTGTTCCTCCATTCATCTGTTTACATCCGGGTGACCATGTTAAATTTCTTCCCCGACTCCAGTAATAAATAAATCAATCATTATATACAATGTTTTGTTATATATCTAAATTGTTTTTGTTTTTATTTCGCTGTGTCAAACAATTGTGTACATACAGAAAAAAAACAGCAACACTGGACTGGACAACAAAAATGCTCAAATTGTATTAAAACCAAAGACGTTCAGTTGACTTATGACGTTACATGTGAAGCGTCGCCCTATAATTATATCTAGTAAATCTATAATCTGTGTATGTATAGAAATTATCAGTTGTTTTAGAAGTGTAATTAATGTAGTGTTGTGTTCAGTTGGTTGAAATACTTGGACTTGTCTCTTTCATTGTTACTCTAAGACGCTAAAGGTTGCCAACATGTATTGTGTTTTTCTTACTGAAGTCTTTATTTTTTGAGCACTTACTAAGACAATGGCGACCCAGGACATGTTGTGTCTCACCTCTCACCTGTGGGAGGGGAAAAAGGCTTAATACACACACTGGTAAACACCGCTGTTAGTCTACAGTCTACACCCTACAGTCTACAGTCTACACCCTGCAGTCTACAGTCTACACCCTACAGTCTACACCAGAACCTCGCCAACATTGTCAGGTCCTTAATATGTGAAATGTAGAGAGTTAATGTGTATATATATAGTCACACATTACCCCTCAACACGAGCCGTTGATCTATTAACATCCAGGTCCCCAATTACTGCTGGGTTGACAGAGGCAAATGGCGTGAAGAGCCTTGCCCCGAGTTTCATCTTGTCCGGGAATCATACGCAGATCTACTCAGCTGCGAGGCGAGCATCCTGACCATTACACCACAGGTCGCCCCCACACACACACTCCTCTAACTCATGATGTGGCCGGGAGGGGGGTGATGCAGCAGACCCCGGGAGAAGCATACCTGACCACCCACACAGTGTCGGGCGTGCCAGGGTAGTGATGCCAGTGAGTGCCAAGGAGGAGAGTGGGGGGGCACTGCGACCACCCGACACCCTCTCTTCCCTCTCTCTCTCTCCGCTGGGTGTGGCGAAATACTGCACCTCATTCTTTGTACTGCTCGCATTCTTTCCCTCTTTCACCCTTTGCTTTACTGTGCACTGACCGACACAGCCTCACTACCAACACAGCCTCACTACCAACACAGCCTCACTACCAACACAGCCTCACTGCCAACACAGCCTCACTACCAACACAGCCTCGCTACCAACACAGCATCACCACCGACACAGCCTCACTACCAACACAGCCTCACTACCGACACAGCCTCACTACCAACACAGCCTCACTACCAACACAGCCTCACCACCGATGGTCTACATACAATACTTTTATAGTGTTACGGCAGCCGACACACACACACACATACTCGGAGGCGGTGCTAATCCCGGTACTCTCCACCTCACACTTACTGAATGTTACAAATATATGTTCCTTACTAACCTAACGTAACGTAACGTAACCTAACCTAACCTAACCAGAGGCAGCCATTATCAACCTCTTTGTCAAGATTTTGTTCTTTTTTTATGAATTAATAAACACTTTCTGATATTTACTGGAGAATAGGATACCGGTATGAGGTTACACTGAGCAACTTCACGAGGCCACACAGGTCACACAGGTCACGCGAGGTCACACAGGCCACGCGAGGTCACTAACTCTTACCTAGGATCTGATGAGTGTGAGGATAGATTTCAGTTCATTGATCAATAGACACAGTATGACCTTTGAGACGATCACTACATCAATGAATAAACTCTAGTTCTAAATATGACTTAAGATTGTGTATAAGTCAGTCATAATCTCAGAGGTGATAACTCGGTCACCATCGTAAACATAGTCTCTCGTCTTCAACTATTAAAAAAACAAGAACAGAACGATTTCATGACTCATTCCTCCGTTCACTGTTTACGTCCGGGTGACCATGTTAAATTTCTTCCCCGACCTCCAGTAATAAATAAACTGAACAAGATATACAATGCTCTGTTATCTAAACCAGGTATTTTTTATAGTTTTCGCTGTATGAAAACAGAAAAACAACACTGGACAAGACAGCCAAGATAATGAAACAAAAGACGTTCAGTTGACTTATGACGTCACGTGTAAACAATACCTTTAATTTCACGCTTGGTTAACCTTAAGTAAAATGCTTTTGTTTTGATTAAAAAAAACAATTAGGTGTGACTGGAGTGTTTAAAGGTCACGGTTAGTGTACTGGTGACTGTAGTGATCCATGGCTTGGTGACTGTCTTGGGGGACTGTGTGTGTGGGAGCTTATAATACGTGTGTGTGTGTGTGTGTGTGTGTGTGTGTGTGTGTGTGTGAGTCTAATACTGTGTGTGTGTGTGTGTGTGTGTGTGTGTGTGTGTGTGTGTAGCGATCAATGAGTAATGCAGGAGTTGTGTATGGTATCTACTGCTGCGACTGTATTGATTTTAGAATGCACACGCGCATAGTATCGTGTGTCTGTGTGTGCAGTATATGTATGTATGTATGTACGTGTGTGTGTGTGTGTGTGTGTATACGTGCCTGTGTGTGCATACGTGTGCGCATGTATGTGTACGTGGGCGTGTGTGTGTGTAGTGGGTGTGTGGGTTTACTACAACAGGCGGGACAGTTGCTAGGGGGGCGGGCAGTAGGATAAAGTTTAAAGTTGCAGTGGCCAGCCTGGTGGGCCGGAGAGATGCACAGGTTTGGGACCAGGAAGCGCATACACACACACACACACACACACACACAAGAATACTAAAATCACAAACAGTTTTAGTGTTACATTATATTAGGTTAGGTTATGTTAGGTTAGGTTAGGATTCTTCTCCACGCGAAGGATACCAGACTAGTGTTGAAGATGAAACCACAAGGGTCCGGCAGTAGATATATTTAAACCCTTTACATCCACACAAAATATGGCCCCAAGAACATTATCACTTTAGGTCTATGTTACCAAAGTGGAAAATATTCTTCCCAGCCCGTAGATAAACCTCGACCGCCAGTTAATGGATTAATGAAAGTTATGAGGAACTTCACCAACCTTGACAATAAACTTAAGATTTGGGGAGTTTTCTGATGTTTTTTTCTTGTGGTGGTTTATCTGCGTTTGGGAGGAGTCCAGTGTATAATAACCGTTAACAGACTTGCAGACACAGACAGACAGGCCGAGACAGACAGGCAGACAGACCGAGACAGACAGGCGACAGACAGGCGACAGACAACAAACGCCTTCAGCCACGGTGCTTGTAGTGGTTGAAAAAAAAATAAGTTCCATTTACTTCCTGAATTCTATCTATAACTTTTAATTAATTATAAATAAAGGAAGTTCCTGACAGTATAACGGTCTAAGATGGTTTGTTTACATCACAAGTTCCGGGTTGGTGGAGGAAGACGAATGACGACACGTATATATATCCAGTAGGTGTTATCAGGTAATCACACGAGCGAATATTAAAACTAACAATTAAAACCGATTAAGTATCCAATTAGAATGTAATATAGTAATTATATAGTATTTCTTTAGTGTATAATCGCTAGAGTGAGTATTGAAAACATTGGAACTAAACTGTGTGAGTAATGTGTTGAGGAGCCTGTGTTTTGGTTCTGAGGTCGGTCGCTTACACCACCACACCTCACCGAACGCTTACACTACAGCACCTCACACCTCACCGAACGCTTACACTACAGCACCTCACACATCACACAACGCTTACACTACAGCACCTCACACCTCACACAACGCTTACACTACAGCACCTCACACATCACCCAACGCTTACACTACAGCACCTCACACATCACAGAAAATGGATGGGAGTTACGGTACTATGAAAGAGTTCCTTGTCACATGAAGTTAAATATAATCATTCACTTTTTGTTTTATATAGAGTTTTTAATCAGGTGTTCTGAACTGGAAGCGCAGTGAAGGTTGTGCAGTACCGGGAGGTTGTGGGTCGCCAGGTGTATGAGACGACAAGATGTTGACTAAATTAAATGGAGTTATGGAGAAGTGGATTGGTGGGCTCAGTTGAACTACACATACACACCAGTCGCCCCTTCGTTACTCTGATAAAGTGTCATTTCAGTACTTTTAGGTAATTTTTATAGAAAATATTATTCTAATTTGTATTTTTTTACAATACCTTGTTACCTAACCATGGTTGTCATCACCTTGTATTTAGGCTTTGAGACCAATGTTGTGTTTACATGGGAGTGTCATCAGTGTTGGACTCAGGGAGACGACACAGCTGACCTACTTAATCTGACCACGCAGGGAGTTATGACCTCAGAGGAAGACTGAGCTAGATTGGACAACGTGACTACAACAGGTGGGTGGTTGACCTGATATCGGGAAGCACAGACAGTAAGAAGAATTATACTTTAAAAAAAATCTTTTACCTGATGATCAAAAGGTAAATATATCATTATAGACAGGTAAGGTTGGATATTAATGACCCTAATTGGAGGAAAACGTGTATAACGAGTCCCCATTAGACAGAAAAGGTGTATTTTACCTATTTGAGTGAAATAACTGACGGTTGATGTGGTAGGGTAGGGAGGTAGGTGTGGCAGGGATGGTGTGGCAGGGATGGTGTGGTAGGGTACAGAGGGTATAGGGCAGAGAATCGGGCTGGCAGGAGGTGGGTGGTTCTGTGCCAACTGGGCGGGTACGTGTCTGTGGCACTTCCTGGCACCCCACCCCCCTGGCTCTCGTCCGTCACTCTCTAGGCACTACCCCCCAGCCTCCCACCTTTCTTCCGGTAATCCCCCAGTTCTCTTCCGACCCCCCCCCCAATAACCCCTCAGTTTTCTACCGGTAATCCCCCTAAAATCCCCTCATTTTCTCCAGGCACTTCCCTCAGTCAACCCCCAGCTCTCTCTCGGCACTCTTTGGCACTTTACCAAGACACTCCCGACACTGCCAGTTACTCCTCCGGCTTTCTTCCGGCTTTCCCAGGTACTAACTCTGATATTTCCTGAGCTCCACGGCTTTATCTACTTCCGCACTTCCCTAATACTTCCCGGCACTTCCCTGAAACTCTCGGCACTTCCCTCTACTCACCAGACAAGATCCAGTAGTGATAAGGTTGTATGATAATTTGACCTAATCTGAGTAGGACCATCGCGTCACATGGCACCGCAGAACGCATGATGGTGCTGCTGTAAGGCAAGGAAGCACAGTAAACAAAGTCAATATAATAAACAATGTAAACACGAAAATTAATGAGTTTTGTGGCACTGTTCTTAATATATAACTAATGTGGCACTGGTCTTAATATATAACTAATGTGGCACTGGTCTTAATATATAACCAATGTGGCACTGTTCTTAATATATAACTAATGTGGCACTGGTCTTAATATATAACCAATGTGACACTGTTCTTAATATAAAACCAATGTGGCACTGTTCTTAATATATAACTAATGTGGCACTGTTCTTAATATATAACCAATGTGGCACTGTTC